GGGGCGTCCCGGGCTGTGCTGACTGCCCCGGTTTCCTGCGGAGAGGGTTAGAACATGGCAAGGTGCCCTCAAAGAGTTGTGTAACCTGGGGAAAGAACACAAGAGTAACAGCACAATACCACACCCTCTGCCCAGGTACCTAGCTGTCCCGGGGGCAGCCAGCCAGCTCCGCGGGGGCCAGGGGCGCGAGTAGGGGGCAGGAAATCGAGTGTCCCTTACTCCTCAGAAAAATCCTTCATTCAAGTATAAATGTATCTGAGAGACTTATAGGCTAGGCTTTGTGCGGGACACTGGGGATACCCAGAGGACTGATAACGGGTTCATGCCTTCCAGGAGAGGACAGTTCAGTTGGAAAAGAGATAATTACAGTACAAACACAAAGGAAGGTAAGGGAACCAGATTCTGGGACACAGACATAAATATTCAAAGTTGGAAATTCTGAGAGACACGTAGAGAGGAATATGTTGAGGGAGAGATTGTGAGGAACACAGATGCCAGGATGGATCACAGAAATAGATAGGGATGTGAAGAGCCACTAAGAGATGCAGAAGCTAGGAGACAGACATTCGGAGACAGAGCTGCTGAGAAGCACAAGTCCAGAGAGGCATAAAAAGAAACAAAAAGATCTTTCACCACTTCAACCTTTGCTACTGTCCTCTGTGTCTAAGGTATTTTGAACCCCAAAGCCCAGATGGCACATTACAGATTGGACCTCAAGCAGAGGCTGTCATTTAAGACCCAGGTCTTTGGTCATCCTAGAACATCTTTCAGCCAGCATCCCAATTAGAATCTTGAATCCACCTAATCTACCTAATCTGACTTCCTTCTCTAATTTCCCCCAAACCAAGGTCTTCAGTCCATATTACTCTACATGTTCAGCCCTGTTTGGCTTTCTATTTCCTCTAACTAAACTATCTCCCCTTGTGTTTTCCCACCCAGGAAAACTTCCCTCTGGGCCTCCTGGTTGTTGACAACCACCACGTTCATGGTCACTACACCATATTCATCAAAAGATTTGTTACCAAACTCATGATCTTTCTAAACCAAACTCACAATCTTTCTGACTACATGAAGTCCTTCCGGCAATTTATAGCTCCTCATCAGGCCCAATATGCTCCAGCCACAGTGGCCTCTTTGTGTTCATTTTTGCATTAACTGTTCCCTCTGAGATCCTCCCCTAAACGCCTGCCTTTAAAGTCCCTCAAACTGAAGGGCTAGTGTATGCTCTCCCTCCCAAGAGCATGCCCGCACCTCCCCTTCTTCTTCCCCCACAGACAGACATGCATCTCCTAAACTCTAAGGGCCCCCACGAGGCTTGCAACCAGGGCAGCAGGGGGCAGCAGCAGTTCATCCCGGGCAAACCCCCTGAACCTGTCCCCAAGTTCCCCTTTTCTCTGATTTCTTAGTGAGCCAAAGCAGACCAGCCTAGGCTCATGTCCCCAGCCCTTCCTTGTTTCACTGTTCCCAGCTTTAATAAATGTCCTCTAAAATTCACCTGGACACGTGTTGTAAAATTTTTCCTGCATGAAGTCAAGTACAAACTCACAACTGGCTGGCCCTAGGCAGATCCACTCAGGGCCAGGTCCCCTTTCCGGTAACTCAGTTAAGTCCTCTATATAAATTTTTAAAATTCTGATGGGTGGGTACAGAGATGTACTCATCTCGTGGCCACCCAAGACAAGCCTCAGATGTAAGCTCCCTTGCTTATTAAACCTGCCACCTACCAATCTGGAGTGGTCTGCCCCTTTCTTCCATCTCTCCTTACCCTCTGTGTACAGGAGCCAGTTTGCAAACCAACACAGTGCATACTTTAATTTTCTGCACAGCACTTACAGGTCCATAATCTTTTTTACAACCTTGGGGCCAAATGTGTTGAGGAATTCAGAATGTTTTCAATTCTACAAAGGAAGACATACTCAATATTATGTAACTCTACATACTTCATATACTCTATATTACATACCTACTGAGAAAGGTCTAGACAATATTTCTAGAGTGAAAAATATGAAAATTTACACTAAACATGAATCAAGACTATAAATAGCCTCACGCTACTTCAGGTCAAGTTTAGTCACCTAATGAGCTTGGGTTCCAAAGTATAAAAAACCTTATGCTTTTCAGAACTTCAGGCAGTATGAAATTGTGACTAAAGGCTTTGAACCTTGTCTAACTGGGCCTTGTTTGTGTCTGTGTGTTTGTGTAGTTATTCCCTTGCTGGAAAGTAAGCCCACGACAGCAGAGGCTTGTCCTTCTGGTTCACCTCTTGGCTGCCCAATGCCAAGAACACTGCCTGGCACGTACGAGACACTCAGTACAAAAGCATACATGAGTGAATCAGTCAGTCAACCAAGCAATCTTGGGAGAATCTGCAGGCCCGGCCTCATGATTCCTTCAACTACTCAACTTTAGGGACCTTTGCCTCCCCTCTACTTTAACCACCTCTGTCTATGCCACATTATTCACCTTGTCATGCCCTGGAATGACTTCCTAACACCTCTGGCATCTACACACCACCGTCTCTCACTCTGGCCTATTCTCCCACTTATCTCGGGTCTCCTCCACTTCTTTTATCTACTTGAATCCTGCTCTTCTGTGGGCCTTTCTATTTTCTTCCAGCCTAGTGGCCTCTTCCTACTTTTCTTCTGGCCAGAGCAGACCCTGTCTCATTGTCCCTCTCTCTTTACCCATTCTCGCTGCACCCTCAACCCATTTGCCCCTTGGCGTTCTACCAATTCAAGTCCTTGACTTTTTGGCATAGACTCTGAAGCCAGAAGGCTTGAGTTTGAATCTCAGCTCCATCATGCACTAGCTGAATGACCTTGGGCAAGTTACTTTACTGTGCCTCAGTTTCCTGTTTTGTAAAATGGGTATAAGAAAATTACCTACCTTGTACAGTTAGGAATAAATGAGTTAACAACTATATAAGAAAAAAAGGTACTTCAAACAGTACCTGGCCTTTAGCAAGAGCTATATATTTGTTAGCTACTGTTACTCTTCAGAGCAGTGTCCCTTTGCCTTCTTCTTTTAAAAAAAATATGTTTTTATTGATTTCAGAGAGAGGAAGGGAGATGAAGAGAGAGATAGAAACATCAATGATGAGTCACTGATCGGCTGCCTCCTACACGCCCTCTATCGGGGATCGAGTCCGCAATCTGGGCATGTGCCCTGACCCAGAACTGAACAGTGACATAGAGGTTCATGGGCCAAGGCTCAACCACTGAGCAACACTGGCCGGGCCCTTAGTCTTCTTTATGCTGCGGACACCTCTGGCAATCTGGTGGAATCTAAGAAACCCCCTCCCAGAATAATGCATGCATAAGATAAAGGGGATTACAAAAGAAACAATTATTGTCCTAGCTGGTTCGCTCAGTGGTTAGAATTTTGGCCCATGTACTGAAGGGTTGCGGGTTCCCCGGTCAAGGGCACATACCTCGGTTGCAGGC